CACGCAAGATGAACGGTCAAAGCTGAATGAGATCCCAACCATGAGAACCCACGCCAGACCTGTCGAGGAATATGTAATATGGATGAATTCAAACTAATATGGAGAACGCAAGGTGGCTGGAATTGTTTATAACCTTTTGTATTTGCAAACCACCATCGTAGGCGAGCCGCCGACGTTTGAACTGAAATGTCTGAGGACCCTATCCCCAGGACATAAGAAATACATGCAAGAAAGACTGAGAAAGACTGAGAGCCCTCCAAGAAGCCGCAGGCCCACGCACCACGGACACCAGAAGATTCCAGTCTAAGGAAGTCCCAGGAGTGCTCTTCAGCCATACCTCCACCGCCACTTCTCCACGAAGAAATCTCCATCCCACCAGTAATCGGACAAGTACCACACAACCGGGTGAGGCCAGCCCGAATCGGGATCGATCCACGTGTCAAAGTACTCCGTTTTCCACACTTTCGTGTAGACTTCGTCTACTTCGCAGTAGTTCCACATTCCGCCCGAGCCATGGGACCACTTGAGACGCTTCTTGGCAGCAAGCATGACTGGAAGGCAGCGTTTAGCCATCCACTGGAGTTGAAAGTTTCCCAGCCGTACCAGACAGGAGCTCCAGAAAGGATTTGAGGCAAAACGGCTACTGACCCGCAACAAATTCTGTCCAAGGAACTCTACGAACCCTCTCATCGGGACCCCGAACGTTGACATACAGACCATGATAGCCGCTGTCCCGGTAAGCTTTGAAATATGGGATTTTGCACCAGTCATATGTGAAATGAGGACCACCAAGGCCCGTCGGTATAAGAAGCCGAGCCGGCAACTTGACCACCCTTCGGAATAGTAGCGGGGAGCAGTATGAAAGTGCCTCAAGATCCCGTTTAGATAGGAAGCAGACTTTGCGGTTAGACCTGCAAAGATTCCCCTGAAAGATAACGTAAGGATCCGAAACCGTGTGATGTAACATACCGAAAGCTTGAGCCCGAGACTGCAGGAGCCGACAGGGGTCAAGTGGAGAGAAGGGGCCCATCCCTCCAAAGCCTAAGGGAGGTGAACAGACGCCGAGGCCCAAGGACTCAGAGGCTTCCTGAGGGGAGGAAAGGATTGTTGCGAAGCCACGGTATCCCTAAGATCGCAGGGACCGAGCGGGTCCCAGATAGAATCGCACAAGTGACATCTCCTGGTGTCAGCCAATCCACTAGGTGGTAGGCAGAGGAAGGGGGAGATCCCAATGGGGTCTCGATTCAGAACCCAAAGGCAAATTCCGTGAGGCGTCAGATGCCCCGGCTCCACTAGTATTGAAGCCTGTTCTCTGAGGCCGCAATTAGGTAAGAGACCCAGACCTCTGAAGATTCTGTAACATTGAATTTGTGCACTTGCATTCCGTGGAACATTGCCACGGCGAACTTCCGAGTATAGGGCGCACATGGGCCACGAAAAAAGCGACGGTCTTTCCCAATCCTAGCAAAGGACCCATGTTGATCGACAAACGTCAAAATTGAACGAATGGAGCAGATGATGGGAGAGATCCCCTGAATTACGTTCCAGAACCGATCTGGGTCAACATACCCCGCTCCCAGCCCAAGCTCCATCAGATCTCCAATAAGCTCAAGCCATCGAGAAGTGTCGGGTTCCCTTTTCCACCGATCGCGGACCATCCTCTGTACATCGGTGACCCGACCAGCGATTAAGCGAAGCTCCTCCATGGATTTAGACGAGGCCCTGGTAGGCTGTCGTTTTTTTTTTTTTGAAGATACCTGGCCATTGAGGAAGAGGAGGAGGAGGAGGAGGAGAAAGAGGAGGAGGAGGAGGAGGACAAAGGAGGAGGAGAAAGGAGGAGGAGGAAGAGGAGGAGCAGGTACTGGAGTTACTGGCTTGCGGACCACAGTCCAGTCCTCACAAAGGCCACAAAACACAAAGAAAAGGGGAGGTCAGCCTAGATTGCCCCGACGAGCCGTCTCATGCCTGGGCCGCTCGATGGCGGGCGCACGGCCTGAGCGGCAGCCTTGCCGTCCTGGCCTCCGCGCGGGACACGTTCTCCAACGACGCGACCCCGCTCCGCCATGGCCAACAACATTGGCTTCGGCGGCCCTCCCCATCTGGGCGAAAAGGCCGCGTCGAACCCGAGACAGGCTGCCATTCCCCTTCGGGGTCACTCCACCGCGCGGGCCTCGCAGCGACTGCGGATCCAGCGTGCAGTAGCGGCCGCAACGGAAGCACATTGCCATGAACCGTTGCGGGAGAAAGACCTGGAGATGCGACTCGTGAAACTCTCTGGCCGCGCTCCTAGACGCGTCGGGTGCGAAACGGCAGCTAGAGACTGACTACAGCCTCGGCCGGCCAACGCACGGAGTACCACATAATGATACTAGCTGTGCGTCGGACACTGCGACTGCACACTCGGCACAAAACCATCGAACACCACAACGTTCAAACCTGTGGGCCGATTCTCTGATGATTCCCTTCTTCTTAGGGATCCTCGGCAAAAGCTCTGGGCGAGAGGCACGGGCGGTAGCATCAGCTGCGGCAGCTTCGATCGTCGAGCGTCTCGCGCGTCGTCGCACTAGAGCAGCCGCGCAGTCTATCCGATCCGCATCGGGCATTCGACAAATGAGCGTTCCCTCCGCTAGCTACGCCCCCCCCCCCCCCCCCCCCTCAAACAAAAAAACTTAGCAGCTCGGGGTTGGCATCTACATGGGAGGGGGCACAGAGCACCTCGAGCTGCTCTCTTGCCTGGACGCCTGCTCCACAGGTCGCCGCTTGGTCCGCAGAGCCGCTGGTCTCCAAATCGAGACCTCCACGACCTCGCAATCGAAAGGTGGTCAGCCGCAAACGAAAACGGACCCCGGACCTGCTGTAACGCCGAACAAAACGCAAAAATCTCAGCCCTCGGGACGGTCCGTTTCTCCCCAGGAAGCGGCTTGCGCAGTGCCGCCGCCAGCTCGCACTCATGCCCGAACTCGCTTGATCGCGACGATCGCTGATCCACAGCGGCGACGTCGGGGGTCGCCGCTGAAACTTCCTTCCGAAAAATCGCCAAGCACGCAAACTTTGTTCTCGTAGTCGCACTCCGAAAAGCTCTCGGGGCACCCGAACCATTCCTCGAGCCCTCTGACCACCTCCTTATCACAAGCGGGGTGGGCGATGGAACGAAGAAGAAAACCCCGAAGCAAAAAGCTCGGCTCCGACCCGTCTCGGGCGATCGCTCGCGGCAGAAATGCTTGCGTTGAAACGAAATCACGGTGCTCACAGCTGCTGTTGCAATCGCAGGCCCAGAGGTCCAGGCGCGGCGAAACGGACCCTCTGGCCCCCTTCCGCAGCGGACACACAGGCCGCCAGCCCAGTAGCCTTCCTCCTGGAGCCTCTGGCGGGCCCGCTGCCCACCGTTGACTACAGCGACATTGGTGGTGACGGGTTCCGACAGCCCCTCCTTCGCCAGTCGCCGCTGGCCCCGCGTCACCTGGCACGCGTCACCGCCACCAAACATGTCCTGCCCAGCAGCGCGCAGGCTCGCAGCGGCCCACAAATGCCCACGGATATCCGCTGCCACGTTATCAGGCAGCTCCGGGAAGGACGTCGTACTCGAAAAGGACCGACCGCGCACACAAGGTAACTTCCACTGGTCCACTGGTTCGTCATACAGTCCCGTCGGGCCCAACCAAGTTGCAGCTGATATGGGGCCCCAGCCAACGTCCATCAACGTCGCTTGAACCGTCGAAACCGGCCCCCCCCCCCCCCCCCCATCCGCGCCCGCCGTCTCGTAGCCGACAACCTGAGTCCCGTACGAATTGAGCCCCAAGATCAGCACACTCGATCACGCACTTCCGGGCGTTGCCGCCAAAGAGAAAGCCAGTCTCGCACCACCTGCAGCGGGGCCTCAACTCCAGGGTCGGGGACCGCGTCGTCGCATCCGAGAGTGGCAGTTAATCATCGACCACGAGACTTACCTCCCACCATGTGTCCAGCTTGTCGTCGTACACGCAGCATCGCATGTTTGCTCATGCCCATCATGGCGCGCCCGCGCAGTGCCTGGGGGACCGCTCCAGCATTCTACAGCCCACGCGACAGCTTCGCCAGTGCGCCCACTCTTCGTAATCCTCGTACCCTACCAGCTCTTCCCATTGCATTCCTCATGCGTTGTGCTTCCTTGGTAACTGACCTCTTCCGCCCTGTCACCGTGGCGAGACCGAGATCCACTGCCGCGCTGGCGGCCACCACGGGTGGACCATGTGCGCGCAGACATCGCGGCATCTTCGCAGCGACCGCCGGGTCGGAGCCAATCAACACTGTCTTGGGCGAGGTCGCCAGAAGCTGATCCTCCAGGCCATTTTTCAAGTCTAAGGCTGCCTTTCTCATAACTTCCCCGACCGAAGCGCAAGTACCTTCGCGCCGCGATGGACGCGGCATCATCAACAAACGCCCACAAACTAATAGCTGGAAGCCTTTCATGCACAAAATCAAAAACAGGGTGTTATAAACAATTGAATCCTCGAGCCCCACTCCTCGCGGGGACCCCGCTACAATCGATCTGGTCGGTGGCATCCGTCTGCCGAGGATTGCCCTTGCCTGGAAAGATCGCGGCGCCAGCGACATCTGTACCTCCGCAGAAATCAATGCAGCTGGGTAGCCCACGCACCGCGCTATCCTGAGCAACATCAGCAACGAAACAGACTGATATACTTTCTCAACGTCCAACGAGAGCGCGAGTGACGCGACGCCTATCTCTACACCTGACTCGCCCAAGCACGCAGGTAGGATGCCCGCTCTCAACGCCGATGACCCCTTGATCGCCGCATCCGAATGTTCCACCAACTCCATGGACCATGGTTCACTCAGGGTCGCTCTTGCCTTGCTCCACACCTCCGGTATAAGTGGTATCATTCCCAAGACTCTGTCGCCGCACTTGGGAATCCAAGCAAATGCACACCGAGTAACTGAACACTGCCGTGGCCGAGTGGAGCGCGCCTAACAATACTGGATGATGTTGAAAAACCAGCCACGTTCCTTGTGAGGTAGTCTACGCACTGCTGCAGGTCCCAGTCCACTGAATCCAAACCCATCGCCTTGCTGTCGCTGGCCGCGTTGATGCCGCAATACACCTGGTCGAGCGCGATCTCCTGCAACTCCTCATCCTTCGCCCCCCCACGCAGCTGGGCCTGATATACTCGATAACGTCCGTGCGCTCGTCGACGGGGTCGGTCCAGGTGCCCCCCCACAGGGTGGCCGTAAATTCCATCACCGTGTCTGGGCCCGCGCACTGGCAGAGAGTGGACTCGAGGCTTGACCTTCTGCCAACCACCGCCATTTCATACCGCTGTGCCGTCTTCTCCTTGACATGGCGATGCGGCGCCCCGGGTTTCGATGACCGCATCTGCGTAGCCCATCTCGTAAATTGTTGTCGCTGCGAAGTGGTGCCCCTCGCCTGCGCAATCGCCCGGCGCCTCTCCAGCGTCTCGAAGCAACTCTGCAGGTCCGTCACCGTCATCAGCCCCACGTTGCCCATATCCTCGCAGCACCTCGCGCGCTCTGACTCTGCGATCTCGTGGCCGAACACCCCCTGTTGGTTCAGCTCGTTCATGGTATTTGCCTCCTGCTTCAACTGATTGATGCACTTGAGCTGCTGTCTACTGTCCGCCCTGCTGCGCCTAAGGGTCAAGTACCTCGCTGTCAGCGCTGCGCAAATGCCCGCGCTCCGCCGCCGCGCATGCCACATGGGTCCTTCCCGGCGTCGGCCGCGACCGCATCGCGGCAACCCGCATGCCTGCTGCCCTGCCCATGTAGGCGCGGCGCTTCTCCTGGCCCGCGCTGCTCGCCTCGAGGGTGGCCAGCTCCACGCGCGTGACCCAGTCGGCGCGCGCGCGGGCGGCCGCCTTCTCCTCCGCGAGGTTGACCTGGCCCCCACGGCGCAGGAACTCCGCGTTGGCGTCCATCTCCTTCGCGGAGGCGTCTCGATGTCCCTCTCCACCGTGCTCTGTCACAGATCCAGCGGGATGCTGCACGGGGCCATCTCCTCCGCCTGCTTGTCCACCTCGAGCGGGTTCTCCTCCTCGTAGATCTCTCACGCGTGGCTCCATCTGCACAAGCTCCTTGTTGCGCCCTGCTATCCTCCCAAGGTGCGCTTGCTCGTTGGGCATGGCTTCTCGGGCCTCGTCGGCGCCGGCAGCGGCCTCGGCAAGCTCGCTACACGGCGCCGCCGTGACTGCGAAGCGCCCTGCGCGCGAAGACGCAGCGCGCAATGCCTCTTCCAATGGGCCCTCTGCAGAGCCCCAAGTCGAAGTCGAGGCGGGGCGCCCCTGTCGGCCATGCCGCAGTGGACGAGGCTGCCCTTACCCCTGTCGCACGCGACGTCCACGCCTGGTCGCAAGAGTGCTCCGCCCACTCGCTCCAGGAAGCTGGGCGTCTGCACCCTGAAATGGGATGCGCCAGTCCGCCAGAACCACCCGGGGGTCTGCAACGGAGTGGATGAAACAAGACAGCGCGCGCATCCCCTAAAAATTGGCCCCGCCCAGACCGCCCTTGGGAACCGAGTTGGCCGAAATGAAAACTAAGTTGCCACTCCTCGCGTGTGCCGCGACCGCTGCGAACCCACAAAATGGGCCTGACATGCCCTCGCGCGCAATTTTCCGCAACTCGCCGTATCCCGTGGCCGCCACATGCGACCGAATGACGATGAACTCGCCGCTAGTGTTGCCGTGCTCCGACTTCGTCGCGGGCCTCGCAGGCGTCGCCGGTAGTCGCCATCCGCCCCCAGACGACAGCGTCGCCCCGGTGTCAGATGCCCTGCACCGCCACATGCGCCCCACGTCATGAAAATGCCCACGTCGCTGCCAGGCCGGTTCTGGCGCTTGCTGGCCAGCTGGCCCCACCTAGTAATGATGGCGGAGACGACGCTGAAGACGACCAGGAGCCACGCCAGCACCCCTATCGCCCATCTGCCCGCCGCCCCCTTTGGTTCCTTGTTGAGGTTTTTGGCGCCTGCGGTTGCTGGCGTGGAGGTCGAGCTCGGCGCCGCGCGGGCATGCAGGCGGGACTTGGACTCGTCCTTGATCCTCTGCACAGCGGCCTTCCTGCGTGCCCTCGTCGCCGCCTCGTCCTCCTCCAGGTCGTTGGGCTCCTCCGGCTTCGCGGGCGCCTCTGCAGCAGCGGGCGCGCCTTGGGCTGCGACTGGCGCCGCGTCCTCCTCGCCCACCTTCCTGCGCTTCGCTCCCAGGCGGGCCCGCTGCAATTTCTTCGCCTGCTTCGCCAGCTAGTCGAACTACTTGCACTGGTTGTAGGTGTTCTGCACCAGCGCCGCCAAGGACTGCACGTCTGCCTCGAACTTGTCGAAGCCATGGAGGAGAGCCTCGTGCACATCAGGGGCCTGCCACGCTTGATCAGCCTGGCCGTCCAACTGTTCCGCGGGCTTGGACTGCGCGCAGCGCTCGTCGAGAACCCCGAGGCGCCCCCGACTCCGCCCCCACCCCCACCCCCACCCCGCCCCCCACCCCCCCAGCCCCACCCCCACCCCCACGCGCAACGCCGCAACATCCTGGGCCTTCTGCGCCTCCTCCAAGCGCTTTGGGCCGGTTCCTTCTCGTCAACCGCCTGCTTGAGCGCCAGAGACTGCGGCATCTCACACTTCGGCTTCCGCGGGGCTTCACTCTCCACCATGCCGCGGAAGTCGCGCAAAGCTCGGCAACCGACGTCCATGTTGTAGCGCCCCTTCTTCGTCTCGAACTTCATGACGATGGCGTCCAACTCCTGCTCGGGCGTCGGGATAGGCGGTCGCGAGCTCCACCATGGCGGCCTCCCCGCGCGGGCCCCCTGGGACTCCTGCGGTTGCCGCCACGGCGCCGACGTGCAATCATCAATGCATCTGCCACACCACCCGCCTGAACGCGACAGCTTCAGTCGCGCACCCATCCACTGCACGCGTTGCAGACCGTGCAAGGGCGAGACTTTCGCATGCGCGGCCGAGCTCTGGCTGTGGGGGGGGAATTCCCACGGATAGTGCCAAAACTGTGCCAGGCTGAACAGCCTTGCTCGCCCTGGCAAGGGCATGCCCTGCATGCACGGAGATCGAACGCCCCCCGAACATGACATCTGAGCCGCAATAGCTAGGGAGGAGGAGGAGTAAGAGGAGAGGAGGAGGAGGAGGAGAAGGGGTAGAAGGTCGAGGAGGGTCGAGGAGGGAGAGGGGGGGGAGGTGGGGAGGGGAGGGGGAGGTAGAGGAATACAGAAGGCGGGAAGGTGCTGCGCTTTGCCCAAGACTATCGAAGATCGCGAACAGAGGATGTCGCTTCAGAAGCTGCAAAAAATCCCACTGGACAGCTGGTGACTGCGGGCTTCCATGGGTCGGGATCAGGGACTGCACTAGAACCTACCAAGATGGGACGGGACCCGAGCAAACCCCCGCAGAAGCAAAACCGCAGGCGCAGGCATCCGCAGGAACCCTCCACCAGGGTACTGAAATTAACCTGGCGAAAGACCCAACCATGTGCAGTTGTGGGCACAGCCGCTGCATGCACTGCATTCGGTGGAGCTCCCGATGGTACCACGATGCGCGTGTGGGGTGTGCCAAGATGGGTGCGGTGGACGCATGTGAACGCGGACATTTGAGCCTTCGGTAAGGCTTCATATGGGGCCCGAAACGTGTGAGAGGTGTGCCAAAATGCGCGCGGTGGGAGAATGCGAGCGCTGGAATTTGGGCGTTCGGTGGGGCCTCGCTTGGGGTCACGGAACGTCTGAGGGATGTGTCACAATGGGTGTGGTGGGCGCGTGCGAAAGCTGGCATGTGGGCCTGCGGTGGGGGCCCCTGTGAGGCCACGAGAAGGTGTGCGGGGTGTGCCAAAATGCTCGCGATGGGCGCGCGCGAGCGATGGCAGTTTGGGCCTTCGGTGGGGCCCCCTTATGGGGCCACGAAGCGTGCGAGGGACTTGCCAAATTGGGCGGTGGGCGCGTGCGACCGCTGGCATTTGGGCCTGCGGTGGAGCTCCTTGAGGCCACGATGCGTGTGAGGGTTGTGCCAAAATGGGCACGGTGGGCTCATGCGAGCTGTGGCATTTGGGCCTTCGGTGGAGCTCCTTGTGGGGCCACGAAATGTGTGAGGGATGTGCCAAGTTGGGCGCGGTGGGCACATGCAGGCGCTGGCATTTGGGTCTTCGGTGGAACCCCCTTTATGGGGACACGAAACATGTGAGGGCTGTGACAAAATCTGCGCGGTGGGCGCATGCGAACGCTGGCATGTGGGCCTTCGGTTGAGCTCCCTATGGGGCCACGGAACGTGTGAGGGGTGTGCCAAAATGCGCGCGGTGGGATATGCGCGTTGGCATATGGGCCCTCGATGGAGCCCCCTTTTTTTATGGGGCCACGGAACGTGCGAGGGGCGTTCCCAGATGGGCGCGGTGGGCACATGCGAGCGCTGGCATTTGGGCCTTCGGTGGAGCTCTTTATGGGGCCACGAAGTACGCGAGGGTTGTTCCACAATGGGTGCGGTGGGCGCACGCGAGCGCTGGCATCTTGGCCTCCGGTGGAGCTCCCTATGGGGCCACGAAACGCGCGAGGGATGTGTCAATATGGGTGCGGTGGGCACATGCGATCGCTGGCATTTGGGCCTTCGGTGGAACTCCCTATAGGGCCACGAGACGTGTGAGGGGTGTACTGAAACAGACATGCGGAGGGCTGGGGCACGGATATGAGGAAGAAGGAGGAGAGGAGAGAGCTCAGGGGCTCCGTAGGTCCTGGGGACCAATATACAAGGTCACACTTTGGTTGACCCAAAAACACGGTCCAGCTGAAAGAGGGTGGTGCAATAGTCTTGGCGGACTTGTATTGCAAACGTACAGCGCAAGAGCAGCGTATGTCATTGTATTGCGTTGTATGCAGTGCACGCGAAACAATGCAATACATCCGCGCACCAGAGTGCGCGCCTCAAACTGATTGCGATGCGATGCGATGCGACCACCGTTGCGGACAGCGTCCGGGCCTACTCAAGGCCGGGTGTGCGAGGCCGTGGCCTCGGGAATCTGGCGTGTCTGGACAACATGCAATGCGAGACAAATACGCAAAACAATTAGGAGGAGGGACGGAGGGAGGATGGTCCTTGGGGTCGGTCGTGTCAACCTGTGTGGGAAGAAAGGAGGGGGGGAGGAAGAGGAGGAAGTCCGTGCACCAGATCCATTGCACCAGATCTATTGCACCGCCCTCTTGGATCTGCGCTGGACCCCCTCCCTGCCGCGCGGAGCGCGCCAGGGGCGGCGCCGCCAGGGGGCCCCAGCGCGGATCCGAGAAATTCGCGCGGACCTCCGAGTTATTGTGTTTATGCCATTCTTCGTTCCCCTAGGTTTAGGTCGGGCGTCCCCCCCTGCAGGCCGATTTTCGACGAAAAATTAAACATACCTCAAAAATACGCCCAATAGGATCAAAACATGCTCAACAAATCGTCCCCAGACAATTTTGTAACTGTTTTTGGAGATTCCCCCCTGTAGAGGGACAGACCCGACTTGCAGTTATTGCGTTTATGTCATTCTTCGTTCCCCTGGGGGCACCTCCCTCTCTCGGCCCCCCTTCAGGACGGGGCTCTGGGACAGGCTGGAGACCTGCTGCGCCTGGTGCGTCAGGTAGCGCGCGAGCCCCTCCCGCCGGTCCTGCCGGAGGCCGCGGCGGCGACACACGGATCGGAGCACCACGGCGCAAGCACGCAGGGCTCGACCGGGCCTCAGAAGCTGAGGGGCAACGATAGGGAGGGACACCTCCTCCTCCTCCTCCTCCTCCTCCTCCTCCTCCTCCTCCTCCTCCTCCTCCTCCTCCTCCTCCTCCTCCTCCTCCTATTGGCTCCGATTGGCTCATTAGCTGTCCGTTACCGCTGAGCGATAAGGCAGCCCAAAAACACAGTGCAGATAGGCAAGTGTTGGGAGATGGGGCTCAGACAGGTGCGGACGACCAACCTGTTTGAGCCTGCCATCTGAGCGGAACAGACCTCCCAAAGCTCGTCTTCGAGCTGGGGTCCACTCCATTCCTGAGCCTCCTCCTCCTCCTCCTCCTCCTCCTCCTCCTCCCCTTTGGGAAAAGGACTCTGTCGAGACAACGGCGGCCCTCCCTGGCGTAGGGGGGGGCGCCTCGACTTGGAATCGGCGATACATCGCCGACAGGTCGGCGACATAGCCCTTTTCCCAAGGGGAGGAGAAGGAGGAGGAGGAGGAGGAGGAGGAGGAGAAGGAGGAGGATGTCCCCGATCGCGAATCCGAACCTTCCTGGGCGGGTTGGGGCTATCGGGGGCGGAAAAGAAAGGGGTGATGACTGGGGGAGGGGGATATCATGACGTGGGCCATGATATTTCTCCAGATTTCCTGGCGCCTCTTCTTATTTCATGACGTTCCTGGCCCCCCCGCTGGGCCGCGCACATGCCGCCGGTCATGATTTGCACCCCCCCCTCTTGGACACCCCCCTCTTGGCCGCTCCCGAGGTTACCGGGCCCCTATCGGCGATCAATGGGCGATTGGGGGTCGAGGCATACCCCCCTACAGGATTCGGCCTGACCTAAGGAAAGATGAATAAGGAGCGAGGCCACTTTGGTTCCAAGTAAGTCTACGAAGTCCATAGGAACACCACGGGGGCTCGCCGCCGGAAAGGAAGCAGAACGCATGCAAACCAAACGACCGAGCCCCTTTCCGAACGGTAAGAGCTCCTTAGTCAGACCGGACGCTGTATGCCTATCCGCCCCTATCGTTGCCCCTGAGGAGCCCTCCTCCAGGGGGATGGGCCCCGCGGCGGCGGCGCGATCAGCGGCTGCGCCCTGCGAGGAGCACGAGGACCTAGGAGGGGGGGTCGAGGAGGAGGAGCAGGAGGAGGACGAGGAGGAGGAGCAGGAGGAGGAGCAGGAGGAGGAGCAGGAGGAGGAGGAGGAGGAGGAGGAGGAGGAGGAGGACGAGGAGGAGAGGATCCGACTGGCTCAAGGAGCTGGGGCCCAAGCCCTTCATTATATTCTCCTGCTCAGGCCACAGCACCCAGGCCACCAGCCCCGGCCCAAGACGCCATGGGAGGGTGGACCGATGTCCAGTCCCGCCGCAGCAAGCCACGCCCATATGTGGTGTGCACGTCCTGCAGCGCCTGGCAGTTCACGTCCAAGGCAAAGGAAAAGATCTGGTGCAAGTGCGGTGAGCCCTTCCACGTCCCAGGGGAGAGCGGCAAGGGCAGCCAGAGCAGCCAGGAGACCGAGAAAGGGTCGGTACAAGACACGGATGTGAAGTCCATCCTCACGGCCATCCTTGGGGTCCTCAGCGACGCCCAGAAGTGGGAGCTCGGGGCCGCCGCCCAGTCAGCCGCGGCGCTCGCGACGGAGAAGAAGCCAGCCCCCGCAGCAGCAGCAGTTGCAGCGTTGCAGCGGGTACGCCAGCATGAGAAGAGGATGGCCGAGCTCGACACCAGCGTGCATGGGCTCGAGGTGCAGCTCCAGGCGGCCAAGGACGACCGCGCCAAGGTCACTTCGGAGCTCAAGGAAGCGCGGAAGAAATTCAAGGAGGCCAGCCAGCCCGCCACCGCGCAGTGGGGCAACGGCGGCGCCGAGGGTATGGAGGTGGATGACTCCAACCAGCACAGGGCCCACGGCGCCGACGGCGGCAGCGCCCATGGCGCAGGGGGCAGCGCCCATGGCGCAGGGGCAGCGCCCATGGCGCAGGGCCCCACCGCAACGGCGGCAGCGCCAATGGCGCAGTGGGAGGAGGTGACCATCCCCGAGTTGCCGC